TCGCTAATTCGTCTCGCGAATCGATCGGTGCGCGCGCGTCAGACGGACTTGACTCGACTCGCCTCTCGTGACACTCGTGACACCCAAATGAAAGATTGTCAATGATGGCGTCCGCCGATATCGTTTCTCGTGTCTGGTCGAAAGCCAACAGTGAAATTATACATGGAGCGTGGGGTTACAGTTTGTTTACACAAATCATCAGGTGTTCCCGCAGACCATCGGGGCACGATTCTCGTCCCCGCATCCGCGATAAAAGCACTTTCTCGCCGTGTATAAGCAACAACTCAACCGGTAACAACTTATAACAACTTATATACGTCAGTATCACCAACAGTCCCCAGCGACGCGATACGCGCGGCACGTCCGGCGTATCGGCACTCCTTTTCGTCGCCCGGACGAAAGTTCCTCGAATTCGATCGACCTCGTTGTCGACTTCATTGTGAAGATCATGTCTAGCCGACTCGATCATCCGCAACATCTCGAACGCCCCGCCGAATACCTCAGACGTCGAGTCCCCCCCCCCCAAGGGGAGATATTAAGCAGGCTCATCTTCGCAATGAGCGACGATAATTTATACTGATATGCTCGGGACATTCTCTCTGCCCTACTCATCTCTTCGAAGCTGTCCTCCGCGTCGGACGAAGAAGACTCGCCGACCCGAGTCGACCGCATCCGAGAACGTAATGATAAGAGTGTAACGAGACGAGTACTTGCAAAGGGAAACGCAATAACGGCAGAAGGATCTCCTCTCCTTTCGGACAGCAGGGGTAACGTCGATCTCCTTGGCTCGTTATTCCGCCAAGCTCGACAGCGAATCGAGCTTCTCCTGACGCTACGTCAGCGGGGGCTGCGACTCCGATGGTAGCGCTGGCAATTGCGGCGTCTGCCGGCTCGAGAGTCGTCGCGGCCAACGTTGCGGGGACACCGGCGGCGTCGATCTCGGCGTGTTCGGCGCGGAACCGGCCGTCAAGCGCCAGTTGCTGCCGGAGAAGGCGCTCGACCTGCCTACGGCGGAGAGATTGGCGTTGCTGCTGCTGCAGGCGACCGCTGCCGAGAGATCCACCCTCGACACGGCTCTGTAATCATCGATCGATCATTTCTTCAGATCTGCCTTCTCGAGATGAGACGTTTGGAGCGACTGACATTTTTTAAGAGCGCAGCGATTCTCATATTGAGTCGACATGACGAACTTGCCGACTTCGGGAAAAACCGCTTCGAGAGAAGAGACTCTTTTCACTTGTTGACTCTCACCTGGAAGGTGGAGCGGATCCTCCGGTGTAGGAATGTAAGCCCGCGGGCCCGCTTCTCGGTCTCGACGTAGACACCACGCTCGCTGATCTGTGCAAGGCTGGCGAAGGTGGCGCGGACGGTAGTAGCCTGGGTGTTTGCGGGGGTGTCCTACCGGAAGACGCGCTTCCGATGCTGCTGGTGGACGACTTCCTCCTCGGGCTCCTGCGATCGAGTTCACGATAATGTAGAAATCTTTCATTCATGCCCGTTCTTTCGTCTTTAATTCGTCTTTCTCGTCTCTTACATTCTTTTTCGTTCTACATCTTTCTCCACCGTAGATGAATAAGTAAAAAATTCAATAATTTGATGGGACGAAAGATCCCGGTGCGATTCTTACCTCTTGGAGGCCTGTCGGCAAAGTCCGGTCGGACAGGTGCGTCCCATCGCGCATTTGCCTTCGCACACCTCCTTCGCCAAGGCAAGGGTCTCATAATTCCTCAGGTTGGACTGGCACGTCTCGGCGTCCGCCTCCGTCAGACTGAGACTGGGGAACCGCTCTCTCAACCTGCGGCGCTCCTGCGTCAAGATACGTTATGTAATGCCCAGATTCGTCGCGGAAGGAAACTCGTATCGATTTGATCGCACCTCCTGCAGGCGATTGGACTCGAAGTCTTTGAGCTGTTGCTGAAAACCGACGTTCGGGTTCGCGATGGAACGGCCCATCCTGACGACCTTGAGCGCTTCCTTCCAAGACAGGTCGGTGGTGCTCATGATGTAGGCCACCGCCAGCGTCACGCTCCTCGACATTCCCGCCAGACTGAAAGAAAGTCGTCGGTGAGCAAAATTTATGAGCGACAGGAAGAGGGTGGAAGAAAAATCTTGCCGAATCGGCAAGAGCTGATTCGCGCGTGTCGAGTGACACCTACCAATGAATCAGAACGTTTCCGCCGCGAAGGCGGGCGGCGTGAATGAAGTCGTTGCAGAGGGAGAAATACTGCGACAAGTTCTGATCGGGAGTGTCGGCGGCCAAGATGCACAGGTAATGTTTGTCCTGAAAACAAGAGCGATCTCCGTGTTTGCTTCGCGTACATTTGCATACAAGCGTCGCTCTTTACTCCGACGCACGCACGCACGCACGCACGCATGCGTGAGCGCGTTTCTCGCGTACTCACCGAGTGTAAACGACGAGCCCCGTCGTGGATGGCCAAGATGTGCGTAATCTTGTACCGCTCCAGCTGAATCATGTCCTTGCTGTCCTGATAATTACCCACGTAAAGACCGGGGAGCACCTGCCGGCACACATCGAGCGAACGAACGAGAACGTTATTAATACGCGGCTCAGCGAAAGGTGACATTTTCGCGGCTACTCTTTAATTAATATTCAAATCGACACCGCCCCGATAACAGACACCCTCTGTAATCAAGAGTCTCCGTGGAACGTATGAAAAGACCCTGACCCTAAATAGGCACGCTGAATGAGCCAGGACGACGCGCGCGATGTTCTCGTCGTTTCTTCCCCTGCGGCTCTAATTTGAAATGCTACGTCTCTTTACGGCAGTCTGTTTGGCAAAAGATTACTTAGACCACCACGACGACGACGACGACGACGACGACGACGACGACGACGACGACGACGGCGACGGCGGCGGCGGCAAATCCGGGTCAGGCTCGCGACGGAGGTATGCAAACGCGGGAATAGATTCGTGATGGGCGTCGACGGGCACCGTAATCTTAGATTAACTTACCCAGCTTGACAAATATTGGATTTTCAATAAGAGGTAACGTTCAAGCTGCTGGCACAGGACTGTCCTTCGCCTGTCGTTTATTACTCGCGGTTACTTTCACCGCCGCGGTACCGCGGCGATTCTTGCCCGACGAGAGATTCTGATCCGACGGCAAAAGTAGCCTCCTTTGGCGGGTTGGAGCAAGTTGCATTTCGGGAATCGGATCAACGAATTAAGACGCATTAAGAGAAGCAATCTCGCAGCGGACTCATTAGTAATTCGAGTCTGACGTTTATTCTCACGGCGTCGCGCTACCACGAAAATATCCCCCGGGTCGTTAGTCGTTAACCCCCTCCCCCCCCCCTCTCCCCTTCCACGCGATTTAATTTCATTCCTTCTTGCTCTTATCACGGTTACGCCGTGCTACCCCTGCGATCCTTCATCGCGCTCTCGTCGCGCGTTGATTTAGTCGGGAGAGAGAACGACCTGGTCGTGGCTCCTCGACGAGGCCGTCGGCGAATGCCTGACGGCCGGCTGTCGTCTCGTGATCGATCGATCCCGGGAAACGGAGGTAAAAAAAGCGCGGGAGGGAGAAAAAAAGTGGGCGACATGTTCGCCCCGTTGAGTGGAGAGCAAAAACGAATAAACAGGCTGTCGTGTCGGCGGCGTTGGCACGCGACGAAAATGCGATTTCGATCGCTCGTGACATCTCGGTGTGTGCGTGCGCTGGTGCATGTATGTGTGTGTGTGTGTGTGTTTCCGCGATTCACGGCAACGTGCAGATAGCGTCGGGGCCATCGATCGATGCACGGCGAGACGTTGCATAGATCGCGATCTCATCCGCTCGGTGACATCAAAGCCGTCACCCACGAGCGACGAAGTCCTCTCGAACGTTTCCGGAGGAATATTTCGATCTCGCACAGACTGCGGGTGGTGCTCTCGATACCATGAGCTTGCCCTCTATCGAAGGATCGCGATCGATCGCGATCCCGAAGCAATTATCTGGCGCGAACGGGAAAATTAAACGTCACACAGAAGCTGACGGGGCCGACATTCGCTGATCGCTGGAAGATTCGCCCGGTCGTTCCGGGCGCGAAACCGTAAACACCGCAGGTAGACGCGGCTGCCGCGGAGAAGACACGGGCGACGGGCGAAACCGTCGTCGGAGGGGATGAAAGCTCGCAGATACGACGGTCTGCGGTTCAGTAATCTCCGGCGAGATTACTGAACATTGAATAATGATGTTTGCATATGCAATAGGCGCAGAGCGCCGGGGGTTTTTTTTTATCGCTCGGAAACACAACTGGAGATTTCGATCGGGGAGGATGACTCGTTTCTTCGCGACTCGCCGTGCGCGTGTGCCGACGTAACGAGAGCGAGATGAAGAAGTAAAGGGAGATGGACAATTTATCAAACGTATTTAGACGAGGAATCCGTTCTTCGCAAAGAGTGCCAGTTTGCGATCGATCGTGTTATCTAAAATCGGCCGACACGCCCCATTGTGCGATAATGAAGCGACACACTACATGTATAAAAGATGAGACGGACACTTCCTCTTCCGTCTCTCCCTCTCTCTCTCTCTCTCTCTCTCTCTCAATTGGCGCGACGAGTCGCGAAATTACGCGGCAGCGAGCTCCTCACGAATTTCTCACCTTGTTCATGCCGTTCCCCATGATGCTGCCGCGGTGACGAGCACGTGCTGAAGTGTTATCGATTGAAAGGCGCACGAGTTCGCTGCCGGCCGCCGTCGTCTCCAGCCTCTTGAACTTATTCCTCGACGATTCGACACGATGCGATTCTCATCGCCGGAGAAAGCGGCATTGTTCGCCGAGCACCATCCTCCGCGATATAGATCGAGGCTCCATTAAGCTGCCGCGCATTCGGGCACTCGTACACATCGCCGACGTATAGCTCTCGATTATAGCGTGAGAACGTGGCGTGGACCACGTGGCTCGCGGCTCGCTCGACCTTTCCTCATTCCGACATTCGCGGATTTATCGTCGTCTCGTAACGTCGTTATCTTGCCGCTATGTCGCAACGCTTGTTCCTTCAGCGACCATATTGTGCGCGCGCGCGCGCGCGCGTGTGTGAATGTGCGTTTCGAAGATGTGTGTACGTTGTTTCGAATTCTTGTCTCTATAATCCGCTGAGTTGCGCGCGCTTAAGCTACTCGCAAGCGTTCCTCTCGGTGACGTTTCCTACGTCTTCTCCGGGTAGAATGAGGCTGCATCCTCCGGCGGACCGGCGCTCGTCCTGCTTCTCGTGGCGCGAGGCAACACTGGGATTCAAGGACGCTTTTTGCCGCCTCTTTGTCGAAGAGCTTCTGACTTTTGCGTACAGTCTAGCCGACGGGATGGATTCCATTTATATGCGGATTGCAGGCCCCGGAGCACACAACGGGACGGGAAAAATACAGCGCGCGCGCGCGCGCGTTTTAGACGAGGTTTTTTCCGCGCGGCCAGGCTGGAGCCAATCGGCTTTTCGGCATGAAGCTGTACGTTGAGCGAGATAGAGCTGTCTCTTCGGAAACCTGCCTGTAATCATGACGCAGTACCTTTAATATTGCGGGAAAAAGTTGTCAGTTAATAGCATCGAGATATCGTGCAACGAAAATAGCGGGAGAGCAGAGAATTTGTCTTGAGTATCGATCAGCGATACGCGGCACGATTGCCTCGCTCGAAAGAGGAAACGCGCGCTTGTTCTTTCGAGAAAGTGGGACAAGTTATTGATAAATTGTCGTCCCGCGTATCGCATGTGTGTGCGTGTGATCTCGACGGTCGTCTTAAGAACGGACAAACGAGCTGGGGACGATTTGCTGAACATTTCATTCCGCGAACGACCTCGCGACGTCGCGATTGATTAGCTGAAATAATATTTCCGTCTTGCCCACGAAAAAAATTACTACGTGCAGCGGCCAATTCCGACTAGCCGAGCGGCCGCCGTTATCTCGAAAAGTGGACGGAGATGAGCGGTTTAAAGAAGCGCTACGCTTATCGATTGTTTCAAAATCAATAAAATGGATTATAAGGACTCGGCTCTACCTGCTAGTACGTTAACCTACTTACGCCAGTAGTACTGACGTTTCCGCTCTCGAACGAAAACAAATCTCGTAATTAAAGCTCATGATTAATCGTGCGGCGATACGCGGCAATTTTGCGCCGTCCAACCACAGAGCGTCTTCGATCGAGCAATTTTGTGAACAGATTATTTCCAAACATTTGGCGACACACACACACACACGAAAGAGAACATATTATTGATCCTCGGACGTAGTGATGCAAAGAAAGGTTTAATTGCGCAAAGCCGTGAATATATATGAAATTAGCGTCGATCGTCAAGGACTTTGAGATTGCTGGCCAGTGCCAGAAAAATAGCGCTCCCGCAGCCAAAACGGCGCATAGCAATAGATATGTTTTTGCCGCGAGATCGCGGCATATATCGCGGCACAGAATGTATACGCGTTTATGTAAATTCCGATCCAATATATTGGCCCAATATGCGCGACGCAATATATTCTTGTTATTCAGGAGCAAAACACCGCGATATGAAGAGGCTTGCACTTTGATTCCGAGCTCGAGAGAGACGAGCTCTGCGACATTTCAGTTTGGCCGCAAAAAGCGCTCGCTTTCGATAAATGGCGCTCGCTTGATATTTATAGACAGATGAATCGACAAAGAGCGATGTGTAATTGCGGCACCGCTAGGGGTAAAAGTTTAAAGGATCTCGCATTCTCAGTCTGAAAGTATTAGTTTGGTCGACCGCCAAGGGAAAAGTTGAAACTCTATCGACGTGGCTGGAAGTTATATTAATTGCAACGACAGCTTGCGGATTCTCCACGACGACCTCGTAACTCGATCCACGTCATCGTTTAGTAAGCATGAGGCACGAAGTGTACGAGCCCGCGCTTAGAAGAGTTGTAATTATAATGTGTTTTTCTTTGAGGGGAGTTTACGAGAGAATATTTGAGAGAGGGGCCGGAACATTTAAAAACTCCTTCGTAATGCAACAGATAAGCCATGCCATTGAATTTCTGAAACATGCATTCGTCACGATAATGCGAGGAAAGTTGGTTGAGTCACGATTAGTTTTATTTCCTTGAATTCCTAAATCGATATCAGCGTCGCATCAAGTAATTAACAACCGCGAGTTCAATCTTAAGTGAAAAAATCTGAAAAAGTCCAGGAAAGAGATTATATTTTATTATTATATCGATGAGTCATCTGCTTCGTGAGGTAAAATGTTATTCGAAAATTTCTTCATGGACTTTTAACACACGAGTGAATCCACAAATCACGATAAAAGACCACACGTGCGTGGAAATATACAACGGATAATCTTGAGAATCTCTGTCGAATATCTAATCTAATCAACAGGCTAGCTGAATATTTATTGGTATTTCTGCGTATTATCTGCTGCCGCATGGAAGCGCTTATAAATAAAAGCCAGAGTGAGAGAAAAGGAATATAGCCGCAAGCTGAAAAGTGCGCTCTCAGTGATGTTGCGACCTACTCTTGAAATAAAAGGGTGATCCGATATATACGTACGAATGGAGAATTAAGTGGAAACCAATCCGGGACCGATGAATCGGAAGCTGTCTCTCGCGGTGGAAAACGTTTTTACAGTAAATTTTTTCTCGTGCCAATCGTACGAAATTAATTCATTAAAATTGAGTGCGCCAGGGATGCATTCGTTAAAATCCCTTTCATCTGTTAGCCAACAAAGGCCGCCTACGGTTCCCCGGCTGTTTTCTTTGATCCTCGCGAAATACATGCATATCGAGATTTATCCTTTAATCAAGGTAAAAGCTATAGCCACATTATAAATGATGCAACGACGAGTCGCGTCGTCTTCTGTCGAATGCACCTCAATGCAAAGAGATGGGGCGATTAAACGGTAATGACGATATTAGAGCATTTATTCATGCCTGAGATCAAAGCGACAATGGCGGAAAGACGTACAAACTAGAGGGAGAAAGCGAAAGAGAGAGAGAGAGAGAGAGAGAGAGAGAGAGAGAGAGAGAGAGAGAGATTGCTGAGGGGAGCCAGCGCTTTGATAAAAAACGAAAAAAAAGAAAAGAAACACACTCGCATTGAACTGAATTCAACGAAACTCCGACGGAAGAGATCCAGGAGTTTGCGAGACGCACCTGCGAAATCCACATGGATCATCGGATCACTCGAGCGACGTCGCGGCAAGAGGACACCGTGGGAGAAATAGCTTCCCCGAGAGCAATAGCTCTCCTCCCTTATCGCGGATTAGCTCGCTTGCACTCTCAGCGCACTCGTCCCTCCGAAGGAGCAGCCCGAGTCACGGAAGAATCGTAGGCCCCGCGCTCAACTACTTCCGCTCAGCTAATTCCTGAGATAGGTGGTTCGCCACCGTCGCCACCGCCGCGGTCGCACAAGCGGATCGTGCCTCTTTAATTCCATCGTTCGGTCGCACTTTCGGTCGTCTCGTCCGTCGCACACGGTTGTAGCAGATGTGCACTGTATTGCAGAGCGCGACTCGTGTGTGTCGCCCTCTCCCTCGTCTCTCTCTCCCCCCCCCCCCTCTCTCTCTCTCTCTCTCTGTCTTTCCCTCTTTCTCACCGTCGACGACTTGACGGAAGGGCGCGTCGTACGAAAACTATCCCGCTCTCAGGACGAGCAGCGCGCAAGGAGCGGACGCAATGGATTTCCCCGACACGGCATAGCGGGAACAAGAAGAATACGTAAAGAGGGTGGGTGAGAGAGAGAGAGAGAGAGAGAGAGAGAGAGAGAGAGAGAGAGAGAGAGAGAGAGAGAGAGAGAGAGAGAGAGAGAGAGGTAAGCGCAAAGTGGGGATGAACTAAACCACTACGGGGGGGCAGTAGCTAGGGCAATGTGCAGGATAGTGGGGTAGATCCTATCACTGCGCGAATAGCCGTGCTCGAATGCGTGTTGCCGGTTTCGATGTATTGCGGCGTCGTCTTACGCCGGGGATTCCCTCGTCCTGCAGGAGGATCACACCTTAGATTAGCCCGGTGTGACGATGAGCCGGAACCGTGAGTAGGAGGAACGCACGTTGACGGGGCGACGATACGGACGGACGAAGGTGGACACCCTTAACCTTAAGCCCTTAAACTGTCGCGGCACCACGATCGATTATTGTTCGCGGTGTTGAACAATGTCCCCGGCTCAGGCTGGATCAAGCCGATCAAGCGACGTCCCGCGGCGAACCGAAAGGCAGAGACAGGCGGTCTCTTTCGAGCGGGGTAAACTGAGCGCGTGGTACGACGGGCGAGATACGAGCATCTTGCGAGGCGTCGAGGCTATATCGATAACCGCCGGTTATCGAGGAGGATCGTGCCAACCCACTTCCTCTTATCTATTACGCGATCACGTCGCGACGCTGCAGCCGGCCGACGTCGTCGTCGTTCTCTCACGTCTCGTCCGCGGGAGAATCTGCGTCCCGTTGCAAATTCATTGCCACGAGGTGGGCGAGATTGAAGGCGGAAATCTCCTAACCGATTCTCCGCCGCGACGCCGCGAAAGGGCGAATGTGTAAAGCGCGGAGGATCGAAGGGGAGGGGGGGGAGGTGAATTGGCACGGCCGGATTAAGCGACTCGATCCCCCGGTCGGACCAAGAGTACACGACTTTGCGGCTCCGCTCGGTCGAGAGATCTCGGAGGCTGAGACGGTCCTTCGCCGCGATCCTCGCGAGATTCGCGAGATCCTCGACTGCCGTGAAGACTGCCGCGCGATTGTATGTTGCCCGTTTCCGAGTTTCCGCCCTCGCCCACGTTCCGGGACATCACCCTTCGCATGCTCACCGTTTACAATCCGCCCCTGAGGGTAAGTCGAGGACGCCGGGGGTGGCCGATACGCCGGCGTCGCTGTCGGGCTCGCGCAGAAGCCGCTCGATAAAGGCGCCCCTACCCTTTGGCCTCTCCTGCCCTCTCCTCTCCTAGCCCCTGCCCCTCGACCCTGCCCTACAAACCGGAAATCTAGTGTAGTAGGACTTGCATACAGGCTACTGGGCTACGCTCGTGGTCATAAATGGCGGATAGCGCTGGCCTACGGCACCAACCACCACGCGATCATCCTTGAATGGGGCTCGCGTATCCCGAGAGAGCGGAGAGGAGAGCGCGCGCTCTTCTCCCGCTCTTTTTCCGCTCGTTTCCTCGCGAGCGAGTCGCTGCAGCGACCGGGCCGGGCGCGGCTCATGAAAAATCGCATGAGCAGGTAGATAAGAGACCGCGCGGACGAAACGTCGGCGCAATCTCGGCCGCGCTAGCTATTACATCGCCAAATGGTCCATGCGCGCTTCATGTCGATCTCACGCGATTCTCGCGCGTTCGACCTGCTCGCGTCCCTCTGAAACTTTACATTACCGGCGGTATCCGTGCCACGTTTTACAACCGCGTATTTGCCGCGTGCCTTTCGATATTAATGAGATGCGATGTTAATGAGGTGCCCCGGAAATGTTTCGCACAAAAGACACGCGCTCGTAGAAAAATCTCGCAAACACGTATCGACAAGCGTGGAGGTCGGGTCGGTGTTAACGCAACGGTATAATCATGTCAATAACGTGCACGCTATGGTAATTCCATCTCGTCTCAATGCGTCAGTCTCTTTGTAAAATGTTACCCACTCGACGGCTGAATGAGAAAAGATAGCATCGTGTCAATGTGTTTCGAGTGACACTAGCGACTATGTACTCCTTGCTCTCATCGTAGGCTCTTACTCGGTGCTACTACAGGCACGAAGATCCACTTTGCCGCGCTGGAACAAGCGCGAGCCGAGAGACGCGGATTTTTGGGGATCCGCTCTTCCCTCATCCCAGCGCGAAACTCACCCGATTCCCGGGGATAAAAATATCCAAATATTAGACGCGATCGCAGCGTAAATATAAACACCGTGTGCTTTCTCTTTGTATTAATTTCATGGACGAAAATCTATAAGAGAATTCCAAGTAACACGTGCACGTACCTCGTATTATCGTACTTGTATTATCTCGTATTATACATAAAAAAGAATGCGTACAATCTTGCTTCTAAGGTGTACTTTCATCTTTTTAGCACTGGTCTTTATTTTTAAGACGGAATTTTCTCACGTATTTTAAACGTGCTATCGCACGTTTTGCCATCGTTTTGCTATCGCTTTTTTATTCCAATTTTCCACGTGACTGTACATAGCTCTAAGCATGAAGCCCGTCAAATATGAATTTCAGATTAATCCACTCGAGCACATCTCTTCGGACGGAAGAAGAGCGCGGAATACATTTCTCAGCGCAATCTGATAAAAAAATATTTATATCTTTATCCACTTGGAAATGTCACACGGCAAATTACACATCGTGTATGTGTGTGTGTGTGTGTGTGTGTGTGTGTGTATATCGCGCTACTCGCGCTAATAATATAATGTCATATATGCGCATATTAAGGGACGTCATCCCTTAAAATATACGCGAACGATTACATCGCCGTGTGCATCGTTCTAAAATTATATTCTCAACTTACGTAGAAGATCCACTATAAATATATGTAACAGGAGAGGGGCACGCGTACAGTTTTATTTGCAATAGTACTTATTTATAATCTTAAATATAATACTTTTTAATACGTATACAATTACATCATTTAACACATATATTCGACACAGCCCTTTTTACATGTTAAAGTAGCCTACTAATACTTGTGTTTTGTACATCACAATTCCTCGAGGACGGCCAGTGTCTCTGGTCGATCGTGTTGGTCCGCGACGATCATGAGGACAAGATAAATATTAGCGGTGTTAATAGGGAAGAGGAAGTAAGCCCTGTTCTGTCGTAGGATCTCCGCCCTTTGCTTTTAGCGTGAGAGAGTGCCCGTCGCCGGTTACTGTTGTTTCAATCTCGTCTCAACGGCGGAAGTACCCTTTTCGACGGGAACATAACAGGTCAGAGCCAGGCCGAGAAGTACCAAGGAAGTGCCGCACCACCAAAGCAACGACGTCGACTCGTCAAAGACGGCGAAGCCCACGAGAGCCTTCAAACGAGAAAAGCGGGAAATACGTATTTAGCTAACGCCCCTTTACAAGCCCCGATTCTACGACTCTACGATTCTACGACTGATTGACGCGAGTCTTCCAAGGCTTCTTCGCCGAGTTTGCCGATATGCTCGCGCGCCTTCCGACAGCTCGAGCGGTGAAAGAAACGCGAGATATCGAAGATCAATGAGCGCGTTATTAGCGCGAGCCACGTGTTGGGCATAGTCGATATACTACACGACGGCACGATGTATACTACACGACGGATTTAACCTCTTTTCCGAAGGATGCCCGTCGGTGACACTCTTAAGTTGAAGTGCCTATATCCTCGCGAACTCAAACTTGATCTCGTGAATGTTTAACACACTTCGCGCCGACACAATCGATACGCGCGCGGTGTCGCTTCACAGCGCGAGCACGTATGGGAATTGAACGCGCGACTTCCGCTCAACAGTTACGAGTTCAACACTGCGTACAATATACGCGCGACAGTACTACGACATTAGGTGTCGTCAGGATTACGTACAATTAACGGGAGGGACGATGCTTCGCCTCTCGCGCAAGGATCTCGATAATTTCGACGTCAAACGCGCGACGCGAGACGAATAATCGTCGTTGTTCTTGTAACGTGTAACACGGCGGAGAGAACGGCGTGTCATTGAAAGTGCCGGCGTGAATATATAATATTTGTCGCTATTTGTCGCGTTAATAATTCCGATAGGCGCGTTTCCCCGCGCGTTCACAATGCAACCGCCGTCGCGAGATTGCGTTTCAATCATATCGCGCTGTTCTCGTTCGATCGCCACGTAACTGTCGACATATAATTGCTGTGACCGCATTGTGCATGTTCGCGGAATTGCGTCTAGTTAGCCAAACAACTTTCACTCTTTGCGAACCGACGCACGGAAATGTGCATTAGTCTTGACGTGGAGCGTAGACGAACAGACGCAGAGAGTAGCGCGGGCGCGAATGTATATTCTCATATTCTCTCATATTCTCTCAGAGACGGGTTCGTCGCCGACGGATTCGACGCTCGATGAAGGGGAGATCCGGTGAGAATTGTGTGAAAGCAATTCTGATCATTTAACGACTCACCGAACAAACATAATTCGTGGCTGCGCTGGCGACCGTCACCGGTAATGAGGATCCGCTGCCGTTGAGCGCTTTGACAAAAAACGTGCATCCCACGGTGTTGCACGTGATCATAAGAGCCAGGAGCGCTGCTTTGAGCAACAACGACGGCTTTTGCAAAAAGATGAAAACCCTTTGTTTAATGCGACACGCGTTACCTCGTTTCCAAACGAGCGAGCAACTTGCGCCAGATTCGCGATGAATCATGGTCAAATAGCGCGTTAACGTGTATCGATAAAAAGAGAGAAAGAGAGAGAGAGAGAGAGAGAAAAGGATAAAGCGAGCAAAAATATAAAAGTCACGCCTTACGATTTCCGCAGAACGTTCTTTACGAGTGTTTTAACCTTTCCGGTACGGCGCTCGTCCGCCGTATAATGTTATCATACTTTAGATTAGACGACCGAGAACAAGCGCGAGATACTTTCATATACATGTATTTTATAATAAACTATTACCAATGTGTATATATAATTTGCTTTTGATAAAAAGAGAAAATAATTTTGAAAGTTCAGGTAAAAATTACATGTTGATATGAACATTAATAAATGCCTAACAGCCGACATCCCAGGCAGAATAGAAAATCATGATGACATTAAAATGACGAAAAGATGACCGAGTCATGATGAAAAAATTTTCCTCATCATTTTGACGTCATTTTGATGATGTCATCATGATTTTCTGTTCTGCCTGGAACCCAAGTGGAACAAAAAATCATGATGACATCAAAATGACAAGAAAATGACCGAATCATGATGAGAAAAAGAGTTTTTCTCATTATTTTGATGTCATTTTCATGTCATCGTGATTTTCTGTTCTACCTGGGAATATGTCTGTTGGCGGCTGGTCGACTAAAATCGACGCTCGTACCAAAAAGGTGAAATTAAAACTAGACGATAACAGACATAAACGCGTTCTCCGCCGTTACATCGATCGTAAGGGGTTGCGTTAATCATGAAGATCAACTCAAATTGAGAATGCTAGTCGAGCATTCGAACGACTTCATTGAATTTATCTCGACGGTTATCTCTCTCTCTATGATATCCAGCGCGCGCAATCGGGTACATAACAAATACAAATCGCCAGCAAAGGTGCGTTGATGTTGCGCTCGTTGCGCTCGCGCTCGGCGGTTTCTCTCAAGTTTCTCTACAATACTCGAGATACGCATCAGAGAATCCGATTACACACAGTCAACGGCGCGATTCGACCGCCTTATATTTTCCGAGATCTCCGCGCGAGTGTGGCCGCACCGGACGCAAACAACGGTGCGCCCGATTGCGCATAAAATCCTGGCCGCTCCGGCGTTACTCTCGAGGTCACGCGGTTGCGAAAAGCTCACGACTACGAATTGTGCGTGTGAAGGAAACGAAGGGAGATCTCTCGCGCGGCCCCGGAACCAGTCAGTCGCTCGATACTTTCACTCGCACCTCCTCCGGATTCGAATCTACCGCCAACTTACCAGCGACGATGCATCAGCGCCACCGGCGAGCTTGCCCAGAAGACTGCCGCCGGTCGCAAAAATGCCAGCCACCACCGCGAGATGTGCCCCGCTGCCGCCAACACCGTCGCCATGCCGGTGCCCCTCCATATCGGCTGATAACGAGACGAGAATATCTAGACGTGATGAGATTGACAAGCCAAGGCCGCTCTCGAATGAGGAAAACGTACGCGCGCGCGAGAGAGAGAGAGAGAGAGAGAGAGAGAGAGAGAGAAAGAGAAAGAGAGAGAGAGCAAGGTGCGCGATAAAAGCTCGCTTACCGGCAGCTCTTATCTGCTCACGCTGGATTAACAAGCAGATGAGGTCGATGCCGACGACGGCGAAGACGAGGTAGTCGATATCGAGCACGATCGCACGCAGCCGATGATCAATCCGTGAATGACAGATGAGAATCGCGGCGGTTGCAACATTGAGTCACTGTAAGAGCATGCGCTCTGACGCGACGACGACGACGACGACGGACGCGCGGCGTTTTCGAGCATGACTGGAATTTGTAATTTGACAGAAACTAATTACGCAAATATGCAGCATGACGAGGTACAACACGAGACGAACAGCGCGACCTGCGGTAAGTTTCCTCGAACGCGACGTATGACTGACAGAGAAGCATCTAGCGCTCAAGTCGGGCAGACATTGAGAAAGACAGGTGCGTTCTCCGTTTCGAGCCCTTCACGTATCGTCTGGAAGAGTAGTCCCCAGGGACAGACGTGACGTGCGGTGAGATCGCGCGCGCGCGCTTCGTCAATCAGCTGGTTGTCAATCGAACATTCCGGGCGTGAACGCGATGTCGCGCTCAGCATGAGCGACGAAGAGAGAGAGAGAGAGAGAGAGAGAGAGAGAGAGAGAGAGAGAGAGAGAGAGAGACTCGGCGGTTGTCGCTTATCGACCGGCTGGAGGCTCGATGCAGAACGGTTACGCAATCGACTTTATTTGCAGCCTGCGTGTGCGATCGTCGCGAGGCAAGCAGGCGAGGAAGCAGCGCGAGTCGCCGAGGCTCCCGCGCGCGCAAACATCCGCGGATCGCGAGCGATCGTGATCGCGATCGCAATAATTAAGCGCACGCTCGTCATCTGTCTGATTCGTTTCGAGCGAGCGAGCGAGCGAGCGAGCGAACGGAGCAAGCTCTAGTCGAGTCGTCGATCGGTTGGCCGGTCGGTCGGCTGAACGGTGAACGGTAGTGCCAGGTCGCGAACAGACGGAGCAAGACGAGGCGAGGCGTGCGCGTGCGCGGGCGATCTCTCGCAGGTAGTTTAAAAATGGCGACCGACAGGTAGACGTTTCCGCGGCTTGCACGCGCTGGCAAGCACGAGGAACGCGAGCGAATTCTCGCCACCGAGAGGTGGCCGCGTACCGTATCTCGTGAGACACGCGCGCGCGCGCGCGCGCGCGCGCCCGCGCGTTCGCGCGACTTACCGCAGCTTGTCGCACACCCGGCGCACGATTATGCCGTGTTATTCTTCGTGATGGACAGGCGCGGAAAATGCCAAGTGAATGAATCGCCGCGGCCGTCGTCGTCGTGCGTCCGACAGTCCTCGTGCGAGTCCGTGCCCTCGTCCTCGTCGCTCGCGAATACGTTGTTGTCGTCGTCGTCGTCGTCGTCACTCGTTACATTCCGCTTTCGCACATAAGCGAGCGCGGAGAGAAAAGGGGGAGAAGGAAAGCGGACTGTCGCCACCGCCACCGCCACCGCCGCCGCCGCCGCCGCATGTCTAGCCGCGCGCTCGCATACGTAAGTAAAAATGCGTTTACTCGTCGATTTTCGGCCGCTCGCCGATCGGCGAGCTCGATATCTCTGTCTCTTTCTCTTTCTTTTCGCCCGTAGCCGTGTGTATGCACGTTCCCGCGCGGACACCCGTCTCTCACGGCCTATTCGCGAGATCCTGCGCGATACACGTCCCTGCGCGCCGAGTCCTGTGGCCTTGAACGCGATGGCTTCTCGGTGCCTCGCCAGGCGATATAATTGGCAGGAAGTAAAATACATCCGCTCGACAGCGATACGTTACACTGTGGGATACTGTGCCGTGCCACCGAATTGATCGCGCACGGTTTGATCGTCTCTTCTGTGCAATGAGGATCGCACGAGGAGCTGCGCGACGAACGAATTCCCGTGAGAACGTGCGGATTTATTATGCTATCGACTAATTTTCCGCGGTGATTGTGTGCAAAGTAACGCGCGAGCGAGGTGCTCGATTCGGTGCTCGAATAATGAACGAGTGTTGCCTGTGTGCTTTATACGTATAGCTGGATTTTGTGTCACTAGGTGTTATTGAAAGATTTCATGAAATGACAATGAATTATTGAAAGTTCAAAGGATCATTACATTGATAAATACTACATTTTCTCATATCATATTTCCCCCTTCCCTGTTCTTTATTCTTGCTGCTTGTCGTACTCCACATTTTTTCTTTCTTTTCCTTTGGGAAGAATAAACTCGATAAACTCCTTGGGTGAGTAATAAGCGAGATGCTTGTTTTTCACATATTATCTCTGAGACATAAACCTTACCTAGTCAAGGTGAGGTTGGAGTGTCTAAATATGTACATTCCTGGTGGCATCTAATGACGTAGTGCATTTCTTGTTAAGATTAAGGATAGAGAGTTTACTACATGTGCAATGTGTGCTATGGATATATAATACATATAGTCTGTGTACTTGAAAAAGATCTTACATGTTAGATCCAGTTAGTGTGAAAATACATAACTTGGCTGTATTTCAGATAAAAATGTACAAAGTACAACAGTATATCTAATTATAAAGAATTTGCACCGATATTATAGCTTGCTTTTTTGCATTTGAGCTATTTATTTCTTCTTGTAAACTTATGCATCATCTGTCAGATGTTACTTTCTTCCAAGAGCACCAGTAATCTTTACAGCTAATTAGAGTTGAATACGATGGTTCTATTTATAAATGTTTCTTTGAAATCGTTCGGTTTAAATTTATCCGTTTTCCTTTCCAAGAAATATTCTATAAAAACGTACTCTCTCTCTCTCTCTCTCTCTGTACACAACCTTAGAAAGGAAACACACATCAGTATCAAGTTGCTGTCACTATTCATGGAGAGCTTTTTGTAAGCGTGTAGAAACATTTGTGCAAATATTGTGTGTTTACTTACCTAAGTGCTTGATAAGTTTGTTGGAGCATCAGGTTAAAATATGCTATCATTTCTGTCAGATAACTGAGGTAGAATCAGTTAGGTCTCGTATGCATTATTGAAAAAATAACTGAAAATTCTGATTATACCAGTATGACATCCAGTGTTTATCAAAAACTCTTAAGTTATCTGCGAATGAGATCTTGGCTTTGTAAACATCAAGGTAAAAAAAACTGCTTTGTCTTTCATTATTCTTTCATGACAATTTTGCGGTCCTCATTTGGGACTGCTAACTTTAAAATTTAGCCAACAAATTTAGAGACAAATGTATCAAGAAAACCTTAACTAATATATTTAATTGTGACTTGAGAATATTTATTACGTGTTTAACCATTCTGAAGCCAATTAATTTATTCTTCTGATGTATGGTTTGAGAAAGTATTTCTCTGAGATAGTGGGGAAAAAGATATGTTTTCGTATATGTGTGATATGTGCCTGGCAGGAGTGTGAATTTAAACTCGATGGTGATTTGTTTTCTTCCTTTTGCGAACAGGTAAATATACCTGCAAAAATTACAAGCACTTAACGATGGAACACTCGGAGTTAGTAGCAGAAATGGTACATGTCGAAAGACTGACGACACAAGAACGGTTGCATTTAGCACGACATCGTAGACTTCAACAATTAAAAGTATGGAGACAACGTGAAAAGGAATGGTTACGTCATCAGACCAGGCATACGAGTAATAAACGCCACATATACTTTAGCGATAGCGTTATGTTGTTGGAAGCAGCTGCGAGAAACGATATTGATGAAGGTAAAAAGAAAAGTGCGCGTATTATTTAGAACTTGGACGATTTGTCAAGGCATTGCTTCGCCGACATTTACATTCTATTTTCTTCCTTTCTTTCAGTAAGACGGCTCTTGAAGAAAGGTGTAAATCCTGACTCGACGAACGAAGATGGCTTGACAGCGTTGCATCAATGTTGCATAGATGACAACGAAGAAATGATGAAATTACTCATTGAATTCGGTGCTAATGTGAATGCGGAGGACAGTGAGAAGTGGACACCGTTGCATGCCGCTGCTACGTGTGGTCATTTGCACTTAGTGAAATACCTTATCGCCAGGGGTGCGAATTTATTGGCTGTTAACGCTGACGGCAATATGCCGTATGACATTTGCGAAGATGAGAAGACGCTAGATTGTATTGAAGGTAGGAAAGAAAAAATCTCGTCAAAGTTCCTTACATTTTTTAAGATATGGTGGTTTACATTTAATTATAAGTGTGCTGTAATTATACAAATTATTTTCTCACAACACAGGGGAAATGGCGAGGCGAGGAGTTACTCAAGAATTAATAGACGAAACAAGAGCATCGACCGAGGTTCAAATGCTACGGGATTTACAAAAGATCGCTTCCTTAGGGGGGGATCTTGAATACAAGGACCATCAAGGTGCCACACCTGTATGTATCTTTATCTCTACGCAGCATTATACAACACTTGAGATCGCATAGCTAAACCGCGAGTTTTATTGTAGCTTCATATTGCATCAGCAAATGGCTATCTGAGAGTCGTGGAATTTCTTCTTGACCAACACGTATCAACGGATGTGGAAGACAATGATAAGTGGCAACCGGTTCACGCAGCTGCATGTTGGGGACACGTAAGTTTGCATCGAAATGATTTTTATTCGTGTTATTACAATGTACATATGTATAATTTTTCGTTGCGTTCGTAGCTGGAAGTACTTGAGTTATTAGTACAAAACGGAGCTGACCTAAATGCGAAGAATAAACACGACGAAACCCCTGCAGGTGAGATTTCGGGAGACCGGGTCATTTCGATCTATACTTTTTTACTTCATTCCTCTGCATTTTCACTGTTATCGCTGCAGACATATGCGAGGATCCGGAAATCAGGGAGAGGATAGTGGAATTGAAAACGGAACAAGAGAGTAAACGACTTCGTGAGGCACAAGGACGGCGAGTACGTAGGTCACAGAGCATAAATACACGGACACAAAGCGTACGTCGGACATCTATCCGGGACAAGGTTCTCACTACGAAGAAAGACGCTCAGGAGGAAGCTCGGTTAAGGTTACAAGCGCAACAGGTACAACGAACTTCGACGCCTAAAAATACACCGAAGTATTTCCCGCTTTTCCGAGATGTAAATTAATGCTAAAGATCGGCTTCACTGCATAAGCGTATGCTAATCACCGTGGGATATATTTCAGACGTACGTTAGTGCTCCCACGCCTAGTATCCCACCATTGGAGAATAATACGCAAGAAGTAGGGGACCACGAGACTGATTCTAGCGCACTGACGCCAGCGGTGCGAAAAGGCCCCGAAGGAAAAGACAACGAGTCTTTCCTTCACGAAGATGTTGATAAAGATTCAGGTATATTCCAAATGTATTCTTGCTTGCATTGGTTGTGGTTCGGTAGAATACTGTGGTTAATGGTAGCTTTGTGCGAAATGACTTCAGAAAGTATATACCTCGATCAGGAGATTCAAAAGTTGCAGATGTATGTACACACATGTGCATATATCACATGCTGATGATATGGTTCATAGTATCCGAAGTTACGAATACGTTTGATGCGAACATAATTTGGTCGAAAAATGTACGTAAATTCCTTTGATCATTTCATGCGTTCGTTGTGAACACAACACGGGGAATTATTACTCCCGAGAGAAGAGAGAAAACAAGAATGATTATAGAATTATATAAATATCGTTTTGTACATGAATATTACGTACCTCGTGCGTGCATGCGTGCGTGCGTGCGTGTGTGCGCGCGCGCGCGTACGTGTGTGAGAGGACAAGTCCGAAAAATAAACGGACACATCTTCGTATGTTTGTACGTCAATAGGCAAAATTTTATGCACACTGATAAGAGAGAGAATAAAAAGGAAGCAACCCCGGAGAATCGAATAATCCTTAGACTATTTAGAGACTATATTGATCTGTCAATTGCAAAACAGTCGATCCCCCATGAATGTACTCTGTTGAACTCACTGTGTTAGCTGTCGATTATTTACCAGCTTTTCTTTTCTTTTCACTACTGCGTGCTCCTGAATAATTGCGAGGTTAGTTTTCTACGTCACTTTCCTATTTCTTTAATTATTACATTTCACGATTTGTAACAATGCATTCTTAATTATGTTACCTTTTTTTCGTATCCATACACGTCACGACGCAGACTCTGCGTCGAGAGTTAGTCGCTCATAATGTACGTACCCTAAGTATTTACATGTGCTACGCATACACAATGCATTTTTCTCTCTAAAAGTGTTCTTACACATGTTAAAACACGTATATACTCAACGTACACGTACACACACCACACATACATTTCGCTTTTTCCACACACCGAATCTCTTTGGCAAGGCCTAAGTGGTTAACTAGCTTCTTGAGCGTATCGTCATCGTGTGGCCCGCGTGTTAGCAAAGCTTAGCGGCCACGCAAAGCGCAACACAGAATAAATAATCAAATGTACCGATATCCACTATAGGTATGTCGAGATGTTTCTGTACTTTCTTACGTAAACTAGAGTCCAGGCGATTTAGAGAACTGTATACACGCCGCATTAGTAGGGCACGCGATAAGTAGAATTGATGACAAATATTCTATACTCTTTATACATATTGTACCATGTGCAAGTCTTTTTTTTTTTTTTTTTCTTTTCTTTAGAATATAAGTACGTACTTAGAAGACTGTTACTGTTTGGCAAACTTCTGCCGGATGATGCGCTCGTAGTATGACGGGCGAATTCTGAGCCTATATATAAAAGCATGGATCTAAAACTGATCGCAGTTATATCGAATTTTTATGTACTCGTTTCGACAAATTCTACGTCTCGTATTGGAAACTGTTAGTGAAACTTTCCGCTAATCCACACAGCGAATGCTTTATATCCATTTTATCTTTACGTACTCGAATGTGCGTGCGTGACTGGATCACTCCGCTCTCTATTATCCGAAGTAGTCAATTTGAACAATAAAGGAAACATATCAGACTTAGTGGTGACAAGTCATTGGTGGATAAATCTCCAACGAACACCTTTCTTTACTACATTACTTCCACCTCCACCCGGACGGTAACATCGCTCTAGACGAATTATTCTGGAATTATCACTGCATTCTCTTCATTGAGTACCAATGACAAATTGTAATCACCAATGTCTCGTTACTACATAACGAATAACGCGCAAGTATATATAATTAGACCGACCGTTTATAGTATATATTATTATTGGACTGAATAGTCTATACTATTAAAAGGAAGGAATTTCATCTTATAGTAAAAAATACGAAAACGCACAGATATATCGTAGTCGTTGAGCCAGCTGTTCCTGTTCTCTGTAACGCAACGGCCGTGTTTTTTATCGTTTTCTCTTTTTTTCTTTTCTCCCTCTCTGCTTCCAACTCTATTTTCTTTCTCCTTTTTCTCTCTTTTTTTCCCCCCTCTCTTTCTCTCCTTTCCCTTTTCTCTCTCTCTCTCTCTCTCTCTCTCCCTCTCTATACATATATATCTACATATTATATTCATTGATTTCACTTGCGCGAAACGCAATGATATTGAATATCGTTTAGCAACACACTGTGTATGTACAGCGATGTGCGTATGATGGCCCTTCTTGATGCAATGTTTGCCGCTTATTGCTGAGAAAGAATTGCTGAGAAAGAATTGCATGTCCGGCTTGGCGCATGAGTCTCATAGTTGACACCCTCGTTTTTCTTTTTTTTTTAACTGTGACCGGTGCCTAGGGACATAGAGAAAGGGGGATGATTAAGGTGGCGGGAAACGGAAAAGGGGCGGCAATTATCGTCGATCGAAAAGTCGGCGCTCTTGACCAGTGTGAAGTAGCACATTGGATTTACGTGTTTGCCTGACAGCAGTGACAGGGCCTGACTCAGCTACGCTCGGCGGCCAGCAGCCGGCGCCGATTTACGCGGCCGATACCGGCGATAACAACGGCAAGATCAACATTCACGTGTCCGTTGTTTTCGTCAAATCCTTGTCAGATCTGAAGAAGCAGCGGGCGCAGAATCGGCACATATCCGGCGGCTCCCTAGACGCCAATGGGAATGGTATACCGATGCCGGTCTCGTCCATCTCCAATTCCGACCTCAGCACCGATGACTTTCAACGTTTCACCGGCAACACTAGCGAAATCGTGGGCGATAATCACTCGGAGAAGAGCTGCTGTACCGTCATGTAATATATATGGGCTTTCACGACGACGACGACGACGACGACGACGACGACGACGACGACGACGACGACGACGACGAAGACGGCGACCACAGGAACGACAACAACCTCGTATCTTCCCCGTCTTTTCGTCGTTAGAAATTATACTTTGCGAATCATTGCGGAAACAAACGAAAGCGTGTTCCTGCGATTAGCTATCGGTGTTGCTCGGGGAAACCGTCAATACGCTCGTGTTGTTAAATCTCACGCAATTTCGCAATCTTTTCCGAGGACGTCGCAATCTTCTCTTCTGCGTATCCTTGGCGATGTATGTACATTGACAGATAAAATCCGCGGCGGCGCGTATTGACAAGTTATTCTCGCGGAGTAGGAAAGAGGAAAATTAGCTTTAAAATCAAAACAACTATCGTTTTGATATCGCGGTATCGAACGGCGGTGTACTTAAAATCGTAACGAACAGATCCGTGCGCGCGCGCGCGCGACTGCGACGCTCGGATAAGTTTGAATCTTACCGTTCCAATCATTGAGAACACCTTAGGTAACGTTACGACGTGAACTTAGTAGAGAACGTGTACTTACATTCGCAGAGGGGTATATTTGCATTATCGAGTTATTTACAAATTTCCCGGCGCCTAAGAATTAAGTATTGTAAAGAGTTTTACCTTATTTATTGTTACGTAAGAGAAATGTATAGAGCGACTACATTTAGCGAGTAAGGAATGTATTGCATTTTTTCGTAGGTACTACCTAGATTCGGATTTTATATAGTACGTATCTCCGCAAAAAGAAAGAAGAAAAGAAAAGAGAAAACAAAAGCATATAAGACTTATCAAACATCTTCCAATGTTTTTTATAAGACTCTAGCTGTAAGAATTAAGTGAAAACTGTTTTTTATATCGATTTAAAGATTATTTGTAAATTTTTGATATGTAGTATTTATCTATATTATGACTATCGTAGACGCAACACACACACTGAATTCCTTGTTTCTGCGTACAAGCGAGCCACGCACACGTACATCACTGATTTACAATTTTTCGCACTTGTGTTGGTACGCGCCTTTGTCGAGATGCAAGACGTTTAAGTTTCGTTCAGTCTCACTCTTCCAGTGTTCGACGCTCGAGAGAAATACATATATGACGTATATGTAGGCTTTACGCGGAGTAAAGCTCGCATATTCCCGCGCGACGATCGAACAATCAAAAGTAAAACGTAACCGGTAACGAGCATTCTATTTCTCGATCTCGAATTGCGCGTACGGGAAAATGTGTGTCAAGTAAAATAACAATATCTGTCCTGCCGAACACACCCGCGCTTCGCGCTGGCCAATCAGTCGGTCCATCAGTCACAACCGAATTGTATAGATACACGAGGGAGGCAAGCTTTCCGCGGGGGGATACATAGTACAAACGAATGCACGTACTCACCTTTCCACGGCGCATGATATAAAGCACGCGTTGCCAAAAAAATCGCGTGCGACTCTTTCTCACGGCTTCCTTCCTTACGACCGTGTTCGCGTGATTCGCAAATTATTCGAGATCTTCCAATCGCGCTGATCGCACATCTTCAATATATAATAATGCCATACCGAGATTCCGATTGAGCGTGATGTGACGTGATTGCATAGGGCGTATGATTGTTCATACTTGATTTCGATGTGAATGTTACGGTGAAAGTTGATTTGTTTTAAATGGTTGTATTGAAAATGAATTTACGTGACATCCACCACATGTTTCTTGTATTGTAATATAATAACGTTATATAAAATAAAGTCACTCTCTGTATATGTTAATACTTTATATCGTTTATTGTTCACGAGTCCATGTGTGCGTATGTTGTCACAAGGCGCGAATCCGAATAGAGCAAACCAATTGCGACATATCAGCAAATAGACGTAAATTCACCGATATGAAAAATTTATCTCATCGCCGTTATCAATTGACTCCTTCGTTTGTCACGTGTCACACAGGCACGATCGACTTGCATATTCTGCGATTATTAATAACGCATATTGCGCATTAATATGCACATTACAGCGCGCGAGGAGATAAAAAGAGCGACACTTTGAATTTTTCTCAGAAATAGCCGCATTTCGTCACTGCAACACTTTTGTGCATCGTTTCAATGCCGTTAACGAGACAAGAGTCGGGCGCGCGAGAGCGGACGCATAGAGTGGGTCAGGAACTGAATACGTATCGGCCGGCTGGATGATTACCGCGCGTGATCGCACTCACGGGTTGATAAGGACACGTGCGGTGGCTTAACGGTCAGAAGAGTAGGATTACATCAGTCGAGTCCCAATTGCAAATTGATTTAATCAAATGTACATCGCTCGTCTCTTCTGATGCAACCGCTGCGCTTTATTGAATCTCATTACAGCGAGCATAATTGGTCATTGGCGCAGTGTGAAATATAAATAAGAGAGTGCGATGACGAGAGAACGATGGAACAATATGTCGTGGTGAAATAATATAAAATTGCCTCGGATTACATCCTCGACAATACTTGAGCGGAAAATCGTTCGCGCGCGATTCTGTCACAGGCGAGATTTTTCTCTCTCTCTCTCTCTCTCTGTCTCTGTTCCTTCTCAGCCAGCGCGGCGGAAGAGAGACAGACGTAGCGTACAAACGTTTCGGTGGATAATTAATCCCGATAAGATCGATATCGCTCGCTGCTTGCTCATGTATAACTCTTATACCGGTGCCGTGTTTAATTAATTAAAAGCGCGCTTTATCTCTGCACTTGAATGCGTTATCGTTTCAAATATTTAACACAAAAGCGAAACCGAAGGGACCTCTCGACTCGACGGTATTCATTTGCATCAGGAAATTAATGATATCGCGCACAATTTATTTCCCGCTCGGGAAGAAATTTCGCTCCGCAAGGCGACGAGAGGCGAACACAATCCAAATGTTTGCCATCGACGATAAATTTTTAATGATGTCTGTCGATGTCGCTCGCGCTGAATTTGCGCTAATTGAAGTTCTTATCAATATGCATTCATGCATATTTATATATCGCTCACGTGTTCGATGTTCAACGTGCTCTTGCAGATTTTTACGACGAAGGACAAGAACGGATCGAACTTCGCTTTCGGAAAAGGACGAGGGTGGTTTGACAAAAATTTTAGTTTGCTCTGAACGTCTCTATGATCCGCTCGTTTGACTAGAGGTGCATTCGGGGAGAGGCAATTTTGCGCTAAAGCTAATCGCACAGTTAGATAATCACTCTAACAAACGCTATTATGACGTCACTAATAGTAGCGTTCGCGTTAATAACATCTCTCCAAATACACTCGTAATGTATCACAATGCGACATTGCGCTACTTCTTTGGTGTATTTTGCAGCGCTTCCAAACGTATTCAAAGAGCGATTCTCGGTGGGGAGGCGCGCTGGACGGGCATAAAAACTGGATGTTACTCGTGACATGCCACAGTGAGCTTTGCTTTTCTAATTACGCAAGAACTCCTCTTCCTCTTGCAACAGTGTGTTCATACTTGCGCCGATAGCAGCAGTCGTTATTCTCGTTGGATCGCCACATTCCGCCGCTGGAGGTAAACGCATATGCTTGCACTTGCTGCGTTGCGCTAAAAGAAAAATTTCTCGAGTCAAAATCATGCAGAGTCTTTCAAATTGCAATTTCGAGATATTTACACCTAGAGGTGTTTATATTTATGTTTGTGACTTGCAAAGATTCACGTTAATGTTTGAACTCCGCGGTACCTGAGCGATATAGCTTCTGCATATTCATCGTTGGATTGAAGGATTTGAGGGTCTTTAATGAGTTCGAGGGATGTCTAAGTGGATGGCAAGTTCCAAATATACTGATGATTACATTCGTTATCCGCTTTGGCATTAATTCCTTGTGTTGAAATCACTTTGGAATTCCCAGGCATTCTGTCGTTTATCAACCAACATCGTCCAACACGCAACATAATGTATGTTTGCTTTCCCTGAAGATCAATTTAGACAGACTCGTATGAAATAAACGCAAGGGCTTAAAACACTTACTCTAGTCACTAGAAATATAATTAATTACCAGATATAAAACAAGTATATCAGAATCAGAACCGTGCGATTATTTTATCATTGCAACTGTTATTATCAGCAAGCGCCGATCAATCGAAGAATCACCATTCAAGTGTTCAATCCGTTTTGCGCCAAGTGCGCGAAAAAAGGTCTCATGATGCCCATAGAGTGTCTCTTATCAACACTCGATCAAAAAAAAAACTATTTTGTGCCAGTCATTTCAAGATTAGCGGGCAAGATTAATAGTAATCCCCAAGAAGCAGACTACTGATGAAAAAACCGAGCTGCGCGCGGCGCGTCCGCTCAGAATTGAAATCACCCGCGATAGGATCGTTCGATCTTCCGCGAACTCGAAGTTCAATCCATCGAACTCTCGCTCGACTTTCGTGCTTCCTGGCACGTGCGCGCCCAAACCACCCACCCTGCCGCCGTCGATGCTATTATTATTCACTCGTCACTCAGCGTCGCGAGAAACGTATGTTGTCGACAGTTTGCGGTAATTCGTAGCAACGACGATACTCGAATCGCGTTTCCTCCGACACATTTGATCTGTCCTTGATTTGATTATCATCCTGTCGCATCCTGACATCCCAATCTTTTTTCTCACTCTGTCCTCCGCTCTCCCTCTTCTTCCCGTTTCACGCATTTTAGCCGCCGGTCTCAAGCCGGCGTCCGTCGTGTACCGTTCGTCGAACGGTTCGACGTATGCCACGGTGGGAGTACCGCAGAGCATGGCGGCGAACCAGGACGGGTGAAACCTCAACCGGCACTCAAGTCTACTTAGACTTGGGCGATCCCGCGATACCAGAATGTCGCGATCCTGTCGTGTAATCGCAGCGATGCTGCCGTGCCTGATGCGGGCTGTTTGGACCAACAATTGTTCCATGTCGTCATACCAGTACGGCGCGGCACTCAGCTGCTCGATCTTTCAACGTTACGATTTCTGTCCGTATAGCAAAATGTCGAGGCAGTCGGAGCAGGTCGCGAGCAAGCGAGCGACCTTCGGTATGGGCTGCTTCTGGGCGGGCGATGCTCTGTTCGGCGCACTGCCCGGGGTCATCAGGACTTGCGTGGGTTACGCCGGTGGCACCAAGGATTCTCCAATCTACAAAGACATGTATTTTTCTGTTATGCTATGATATTCTAAGATTTAAAGAATTGAATATATAGTCGATAAAAAACTAACGAAATGACATGAGACTCTTTTACATCAGAAAAACTGTGTTAAATCATTGTGAATCGAGTTAAACTTTTGAAACGAGTCAATAAAGATCAGCACAACATCTGGACAAAGTATAGTAATATTATACTTGATATTTATGCCTTATTTACAGGGGAGATCATACGGAAGTTGTTGACATTGAATACAATCCAGAATTAATATCCTATTCGTATCTGCTGGAGTTGTTTTGGAATAATCATGAATATGGCCTGACAACCAAGATCAAAAGACAGGTAATGACTTTCACATTAGTTTGTGATGTTAGTTATTCATTGTATATTATTTTTAGTAATTTAGAAGTAATTATTTAGAAAGCATAAAAGAACAAGTTAGATTTTTAAATAAATATAATAAATAATGATGCTTAAACAGCATCTACACAATCCACATATAATTCTCACGATAAATGAAATTTAATTTTCAGTACATGTCGCTAATTTTATATCATGACGAAGAACAAAGATCATTAGCTACAGAATCGCAGGAATTGAAACAGCGAGAGGTTGGAGAAATCTTCATTACAGAGATTAAAAAGTTTATAAAATTTTATCCGGCGGAGGAGTAAGTGACATCATTACTTTTTTCCATTCCATAAATAAACAATCAATATCCTGCAAACGCTTATTTGACATAATTTAATCTTGTCTATTCTCTAGTGTTTAGTTAAATAAGTATATATAACTCTGGCTCTATTTTAATAGCAACTTCATAAATAGATATTGAAATTAAATCATTGAAAGGGATCTAATTATGTTAATGGCCAAATAAATTAAATATGTACATCTTTTTCAGTTATCATCAAAAATATCGACTGCAACAACATCCGTGGTTGGTCCAGACCACAGGACTTACCACACCGGAAGCTTTACGTACATCTCCATTAGCAGCAAAGTTAAACGGCTACATAGCGGGTGCCGTCAGTCTCAAACAGTTCCAGCAGGAGTTACCGCACTTAGGACTTAGCGAAAAAGCAGCACAATATGTAACGAAATATGTTATTGAAAATCAAGGGAGCGGTTTGTATTGTTAGCTGATCTAGAAACGCTAGTCGATCGTATTTGCATGAACAAAAATGTTACAGCTTGGCGTATTTATTGCGATAACGATTTTATAATGCGATAATAAGCATTATATATAATATTCAAACAGATTTTTTTATTCATACTGTATTGTTGTAATATTATTAGTTGAAATTTATATTACTCGTTTTTAAATTCTGCTGCGTAATGTACAAATTGTTCTACGACTCGTAATCTTAATTTTAATGAGATTATTTTAATATTCGTATAGATATTTTTTCAATTCTAATAAAAATTTTAAGACATTGTTGGATTATAAAAAGTTGATGAAAGATGTTCAAATGAACTTTAATATGATATTAATTTAAAACCTTTTGCGACATAGGGATACACAGAGTACTGATTATAAGTAAATAAACAGAAGATATATCATTATTATTGTGCCGAGTACCGGTAATCATTAGAATATTCGATGTATTTCAAAAAAGCAAGAACAATTGCTTCTAACAGTTTGTATAATGTTCGAAATGGCTGTGGAATTTTAACTCGCAAATGATAAAAATTACAGTAACTATTTTCTATATACTGATATGCTAAGACGACAATATTAATAAATATGAGTTCATTAGATCCCTTTCAATGATTTAATTTCAATATCTATTTATGAAGTTGCTATTAAAATAGAGCCAGAGTTATATATACTTATTTAACTAAACACTAGAGAATAGATAAGATTAAATTATGTCAAATAAGCGTTTGCAGGATATTGATTGTTTATTTATGGAATGGAAAAAAGTAATGATGTCACTTACTCCTCCGCCAGATAAAATTTTATAAACTTTTTAATCTCTGTAATGAATAAATATGAGAAATAATTATAAACTTATGATATATTAGAAAACTTTAACAATATTGTACCTTAAAATATTAAATCAATTTTAATATTCAAAGATCCTCACAACAGCAGAATATTCTTACAAAAATCTTATTTCACTAATGATTTTACTATTTTTAGATGTAAGATAAATTGATGTACTACACACATAACAAAAAAAATTATACAAAAATCATATTAACATCATTTTTTTTATATAACAATAATCTTATTTCTATCATTAATATATTAAGATATTCTTTTTTGCAATTATTGAAGGGTATGCTGTTCTTTCATTATCCTTCAAAATAACAAGTCTTAATAGTAAGTTTAAGGTTCACTAACCTTATAACTAAAACCATCGATGAGATAATATTACAGATTGTCAGCCCTAGGTAAATTTTTGTATTGGCAAAGAGGACCCGAGGAGCCCGGCGGTAATTTAAGAGCGATGACTGTTTTAACTATGCCACTGACAACGTACTAATAAAGATTGTTAGTCTTACGAGATTTAACGTACCAGAGAAATCTCGCTTTGTGCATTAGCGCCCTCTTAAGAATATCGTGGCCGGAATATCAAAGGGTAACTCGAAAAAACATACATAGTACCAAATATGGAATAATAAGAAAAAGATTTTGCAAAATATCAACAGAGTATTATTAGCGAAAACATGACAACTGATTAATTTTATGAGCCTATAAAAAGATAAAAATCTAAACCAAGCGTAGTGCAGCTCTGTGAAGCTGACATCCCCAAATTCGAATTTTCATAAACAACAAGTAGCATTCGTTTGTCCACGATTTGTCCACATTTGTCCAACACAAATTTTCATTTGCCCATCTCTTAAAAAAAAGTTATGAGCAAATAAAAATTTCGACACCAGCACCCTTATGAAAATATTTCTTCAATTTCAAAGCACCGCTGGATTGTCCATGATTTATCCACGTTTGTCCAACAAAAATTTTCATGTGCCCACCTTTCAAAAAAAAGTTATGAGCATAAGAAATTTCGACACCAGCACCCCCATGAAAAAATTTCTTTAATTTTAAAACACCGCTAGATTGTCCACGATTTGCCCACGTTTGTCCAACAAAATTTTTGTTTGTTCTCCTTTAAAAAAAGTTATAAACAAATTAAAAAATTGGAAGTATGTGGAGTTGGCACCCCAGATACGAATATATATAAAAATTAGTAGGGATTCGTTCGTCAACGATTTGCTCATATTAATCCAACTAAAATCTTCATTTGCCACCTTGTAAAATATAGTTAAATAAAGAAAATAAGAAAGAGCAATTTGCTTACAAGAACACTTTTCTGAAAATTAAACACTGCAATCGTTTGTCCACCCGTTGTTTTCGTTTGTCCATGCATTATTGTCGTTTGTCCACCCAAAGGAATAGAGTAATTAACAAAAAAAAATTAAAATACTTAACTACAACCGCTGTACGTACATGTGTCACAGTTTTCTGTCGATCGAGGATTGAAATCGTTCGTCCATCCATTACTTTCGTTTGTCCATGCATTATTATCGTTTGTTCATCCAAGGGAATCGAGTAATTAACAAAAAAAAAAGTTGAAATACATGACTACAACCGCTCTATGAAATGTGCTAAAGTTGTCTGTAGATTGGGGGTTGGAATAGTTTGTCCATCCGCTGCTTTCGTTTGTCCATGCATTGTTGTCGTTTGTCCACCCCAGAGAGTCGAATAATTAACAAAAAAAATTAAAATACTTCACTATAAACGCTCTACTAACCCACACTCTACAGAAAACTTTAACACATGTACGTAGAGCGGTTGTAGGCAAGTATTTTAATTTTTTTTGTTAACTCCTCGATTCTGTTCGGTGGACAAACGACAATAACGCATGGACAAACGAAAGCAACGGGTGGACAAATGATTCCAACCCTCAATCTACAGAAAACTTTGACACATATGCACAGAACGATTATAGCTAAGTTTTTTAATTTTTTTTTGTTAATTACTTGTTTCCCTTGTGTGGACAAACGATAATAATGCATGGACAAACGAAAGCAGTTGGTGGACAAAGGATTCAAACTCCCAATCTGCAGAAAACGTTGACACTTGTACATAGAAAGGTTATAATTAAGTATTTAAATTCTTTCTTTGTTAATTACTCAATTCCCGTGGGTGAACAAACGACAATAATGCATGGCGAAACGAAAGCAGAGTGTGGACAAACGATTCCAACTCCCAATCTACAGAAAACATTGGCACATTACGCAGAGCGCTTATTATCAAATATTTTAATTATATTTATTAATTACTCGATTCCCATGGCGGGACAAACAATATTGCATGGACAAACAAAAGCAACGCGTGGACAAACGATTCTAACCCTCAATCTATAGAAAACTTTGCCACATGTACATAGAACGGTTATAGTCAAGTATTTTAATTTTTTTGTTAATTATTCGATTCCCTTGGATGGACAAACGACAATAATACATGGATAAACGAAAGCAACGGGTGGACAAACGATTGCAGTGCTCAATTTTCAGAAAAGTGTTCTTGTAAGCAAATTGCTCTTTCTTATTTTCTTTATTTAACTATATTTTATAAGATGGGCAAGTGAAGATTTTAGTAGGATAAATATCGGCAAATCGTGGACGAACGAATTCCTACTAATTTTTATATATATTCGTATCTGGGGTACCAACTCCACATACTTTCAATTTTTTAATTGGTTTATAACTTTCTTTTAAAGGAGAAAAAACAAAAATTTTAGTTGGATAAACGTGGGCAAATCGTGGACAATACAACAGTGTTTTAAAATTGAAGAAATCTTTTCATGGTGGTGCTGGTGCCGAAATTTCTTTTGTTCATAACTTTCTTTGTAAAGGTGGACAAGTGAAAATTTTTGTTGGACAAATGTGGACAAAACGTGGACAATCTAGCGGTGCATTAAAATTGAAGAAATATTTTCATGAGGTTGCTGAAGTCGAAATATTTATTTCCTCATAACTCTTTTGTCAGAGATGGACAAATGAAAACAAATGCTGGACAAATGTGGACAAATCGTGGACAACCGAATGCTACATGTGGTGTATTAAAATTAGAATTTGGGGGTGACAGATTCACAGAGCTCTATTCAATACTGAGAAATTAAAGCGGAAAGTTCAAAGCCGATCGATGCGAAAAGAACGTGCCAGCGGATATAAGTTGCAAAATTATTTATTATAAAATATTAATCTCGGTTCGAAATAAGATTGATCCGTGCAAACCGCATCGAGCTATGATTACGGGTTTCCAAGATATAAACCACGAAAAATGGAAAAGTGACAGGCATGAAAATGAAATATTAAATATGGAAATATGCATAATAAGGTTTTAATCTAGACCCAAAATAAGAAAGATCTTCGCAAATTATAACAAGGTGCGCGTATTCGTTACAGAGAAATTAAAGCGGAAAGTTCAAGGTCGGCCGATGCGAAAATATCGTGTCACCGGATATAAGCTACAAAATTATTAGTCATAAAACATTAATCTATGTCCGAAATAAAATTCAGCCGTGCAAACCGCATCGAGTTATGATTACGCGTTTCCAAGATAGAGACCACGAAAGATGGAAAAGTGACAGGCATGAAAATGAACTATTAAAAATCGAAGTATGCATAATAAGGTTTTAATCTAGACCCAAAATAAGAAAGATCTTCGCAAATTATAACAAGGTGCGCGTATTCGTTACCGAGAAATTGAAGCGGAAAGTTCAAGGCCGGCCGATGCGAAAATAACGTTTCACCGGATATAAGCTACAAAATTATTAGTCATAAAACATTAATCTATGTCCGAAATAACATTGATCCGTGCAAACCGCATCGAGCTATGATTACGCGTTTCCAAGATAGAGACCACGAAAGATGGAAAAGTGACAGGCATGAAAATGAAATATTAAATATGGAAATATGCATAATAAGGTTTTAATCTAGACCCAAAATAAGAAAGATCTTCGCAAATTATAACAAGGTGCGCGTATTCGTTACAGAGAAATTAAAACGGAAAGTTCAAGGTCGGCCGATGCGAAAATATCGTGTCACCGGATATAAGCTACAAAATTATTAGTCATAAAACATTAATCTATGTCCGAAATAAAATTCAGCCGTGCAAACCGCATCGAGCTATGATTACGCGTTTCCAAGATAGAGACCACGAAAGATGGAAAAGTGACAGGCATGAAAATGAACTATTAAAAATCGAAGTATGCATAATAAGGTTTTAATCTAGACCCAAAATAAGAAAGATCTTCGCAAATTATAACAAGGTGCGCGTATTCGTTACCGAGAAATTGAAGCGGAAAGTTCAAGGCCGGCCGATGCGAAAATAACCTTTCACCGGATATAAGCTACAAAATTATTAGTCATAAAACATTAATCTATGTCCGAAATAAAATTCATCCGTGCAAACCGCATCGAGCTATGATTACGCGTTTCCAAGATAGAGACCACGAAAGATGGAAAAGTGACAGGCATGAAAATGAACTATTAAAAATCGAAGTATGCATAATAAGGTTTTAATCTAGACCCAAAATAAGAAAGATCTTCGCAAATTATAACAAGGTGCGCGCATTCGTTACCGAGAAATTCAAGCGGAAAGTTCAAGGCCGGCCGATGCGAAAATAACGTTTCACCGGATATAAGCTACAAAATTATTAGTCATAAAACATTAATCTATGTCCGAAATAAGATTGATCCGTGCAAACCGCATCGACCTATGATTACGCGTTTCCAAGATATAGACCACGAAAGATGGAAAAGTGACAGGCATGAAAATGAACTATTAAAAATCGAAGTATGCATAATAAGGTTTTAATCTAGACCCAAAATAAGAAAGATCTTCGCAAATTATAACAAAGTGCGCGTATTCGTTACCGAGAAATCAAAGAGGAAAGTTCAAGGTCGGCCGATGCGAAAATATCGTGTCACCGGATATAAGCTACAAAATTATTAG